GGAGATGACTAGCAGAAGCGATTTATCAAGCCTCACGGCGCGGGAGGGCAGGAGGATTCGGGCTTTTCAGGCTTCGGAGTGTGGCCTGTCTGGCTAGCACTGGACTTCAAGAAAAAAAGCGTAACGATTGACCTGCAAGCATGAGATGTTCAAGCTATTTTATGTTTGGGACTTGTACAGGGCAGGATACCATGAGTCTTCATTAGATTTGGTGAAGTGTTGCAGTTGGGTGTAGTTCCAAATAATCAGCTCAGGGCACATTTTAACGGATCTTGATACATCCAATTCTTTCCAAGAGTTCCTTTTTGCACTACATCAATATACATCCCAGCAGCTCCACACAGAGTCGAAGAAGCGGCAGACCAGAGACACCAACAAGAAAAGGTTCAGACAGTCTGGTTGAAGACCCAATCATTGATCATCAGTGGAGAGCAAGCTTATAAGTGAAAACAGTCAAGCCCTCAGCAAAGATGAAAGAAGAAACAGGATGAGCCGCTACCAATATATGGTCTGTCGTGAAGCTGAAAAGAGCTGAGGATCGAAGGATGGTGTTTCCACTGTTTTCCAAGGAACTCCGGACTTTTCGAAACACATCAGGTCAGCAAACATGAAGTGAATATACGTGGAACAAGCAACTAAAACCTTTGTGTCGGAAGGAAGACTAACGGATGATAGGGGCCATAAGACAACGGCTTTCACTGTTGCTTGAGACAGTAGAAGGACATCGAGCATCATCAGAGGTTTAGCATGATTTTACTGTTACTGATTGAAGTTTACATATATGTTTACCAGTGTCGTAAGCTTCTCGAACCTGCAGAAAGCATGACAGATGCTGACGCTTAATTTCTAAAATTAAGCGTCCAGCATACATCTAGACAGCTAGGTATGTTTTGCAGCAAAGAACTATGGATTATGACAAGGGGTCAGAAGTGTGGACACATCTTTGGCTTTGCTTCACACTTTATCAAGCTTCATTAAGCTTCATATCCGAGATGGTCACGCCAGACTCATCAAGTCTTTTTCGGCCCAACCGATCCTGCCGTCTTCCGTCGGAAGCTGCCAGGCGCCCAGACCACGTTCGAGCCCCAGCGAGAGCTTGCCGGCACGAGCCTTGATCTCCCAGAGCCGTTGGCCCCAGAAGGACGGAGCAGCGCCTTCGTGGCATGCCGGCGTGGTTCCAACATGGGTGAAAGACTAGTCATGGGTGAAACGTCCTTCTTGCGATCGGAGATAGGTGCTTGTGCTGACGGCTTGCAGATGCGGCTTGTCCAACTGATGTGAGGAATGCAGATGTTGGGAGGGTGTGCATGGTGTGCTGTTCCCATGGAGTCAGGTCAAACATGCTTCGGAGGCATTTCCAACGATTCAGACATGAACCCCCAAGTGAACAAGATGCTTCTTCACTACTCCTGACGAGTCGTAAGAATTCTACAACATTTGTCAGACAAACTTCTGCTAAAGTTTGTAGGACAGACAGACCAAACAATGGATCAAGTTTTGTCCCTCAACATGATTGTATGCTGGGACATATGCTTTCAGGCCCATGTCATAAATGTTGGAGGCCATCGCTACTATGGTGGAGGCCATCGCTACTAGGGTAGAGGCCATCGCTATTTATTAGGTTGGAGGCCATCGCTACTAGGGTGGAGGTCATCGCTATTAGGTTGGGGGCCATCGCTACTAGGTTGGAGGCCATCTCCAATAGATCTATTTTTCATTTCGCCAGCTGATTTCGTCCTTGCTAGGCTCCCTGGCATTGGTGCTCTTTCCCCCTGTTTGGGAAGCTATTGTGGACCGACGTTTTGCATATTGTTGTTTTGGTGGAGTGGAAGTCGGTCTGCGGTGTCAGGAGGAAGGGGAAGCGGTGGTGTCTGCCGGCCGGCTATCACTCAAAAAGGTCAGGAGCCTAGTTGACCAATCCGTTGGGAGAAGCTGAAACTGTTAACAAGAAGCCACTAGTAGCGATGGCCTCCACCCACTAGCATCTTGTTAGTAGAAGCCAATCCAAATCCGTTTATCCAACTTCTCAAAGATCAACCCCTCACCACTGACAATCGCGGATGTGTGGAGTGGTTTCAACTTGCGGGACCTTGGGAGTCCCAATCATTTGGGAGGGAAGGCAGGTAGATGTCCCGTCCACTGGTATATCCCAATTCAAGACAGAGGCATGAATATGGCACAACGGACATACGTGTCCAATTGTGACATAGAACACAAGGCAGGTTCTATTTCTAGATAGAAGACTCCTTGTAAGAGAGATCTGCAGATACGAAGGAGGAGCTTTGAAGATATAATATAATATATGTATATAATGGCACCTGTTGTTTGAGGCCAAGCCAAGGGAATGCTCACCTTTCTCCTCCCAGCTTCGCGCGACATATTGACATATATTGTGCGTATGTCAGCTTATCCCCGAAACTGTACACACACGAAGAGATCCATCAAATATATGACAAAAGACAAGCAGATGAAAGACCATAGGTCGGGGGCTGGTTTTGAGATATGCCAATATTATACAGAACATGTGCGTTGTTAAATGTTTTCCGAGACGAACCCACAAAAACAAATTTCTTGTTTTGACTTTCACAATGAGTGCTGACTCGTCAGAGTTGCTCGGAACCGAGGTTGGATCTGCAGTGCTTGCAGCGACCTTTTCGTGACTGAGTTCTTCCAAAGGTTTTGTGCAGAGCTGATTGGACGAATAAATCAAACTTCCAGAAGAAGTTTGCAAAGAGACTTTAGACCCTGCGCAGTGGTCAGTTTGTCCAAGAGAGCTTGTCCTCTCCAGCTTCGCTGAACTTGACATTTTTGTGTGCCCGGAAGGTGGCACTCGCTGTGTAGGGCTTTTCCGGACCTCTCCTGCCAAAGGTAGTGAGGATCCGAGCCACAGGCTTCTTAAGGAATGCTAAACCCCATCAGGGAGGCTCAATGTGTCGGAGTAGCATCTCACTGCCAGGCACTTTTGATTCGCCACCACATGGTTTTGGACCCATCAAATTTCAGGACAGTACCCAAACTGAGTGTTTGTCACCTCAACCCTTTGCCGGCTCCGACGCTGACTGAGGCTGTGTCTCTTAAAAAGCTATCGTCACCGCAGGGGCATGTCTCAACATGGGGGAAATCCTCCACCAACCTCGCTGATACAGATCTACCGGAATTTCGCTCACTCCAAGCCCGTGGACTTGCTGAATTGAATGCCATCAAACATTACTAGTAGCGTCCTTGCTCTTAGTAGTATGGCCAGGAGCCCCTAGTAGCGTCCTTGCTCCTAGTAGTAAGGCCAGGAGCCCCTAGTAGCGTCCTTGCTCCTAGTAGCGATGCCCTTTGCTCCTAGTAGTGTCCTCGCTCCTAATTGCAGAACCGACATTAGGTCGTTTAAGATATGTTACCGATATGGCCCTGTGGCCCCACAGCCAGGTGTATTCAGGGTGAGACTGGCTGCGGCAAGTCAACACGGGTGCCAGTCTATGTCATGGAGGACGGCTAAGGGGATTCTGTTCACATGAAACCTGGACAGCCTATTTTTTGGGGTCGAGAAAACAGGACTAGATTGCTAGGCGGATCCCTTTGCTTTGTTGGAGTGCCGCCCTTGGCTGTCGAGAGCTCAAAGTGTCTTTTTTGGAGGAGTACTTCGAGCAGCGACGAGCTGGGAAGGTCAAGAAGGAGGATAAGTTTATGGTCTTGTGCACTCAGCCAAGGCCCGGAGGTTGCAAAGGGTGTGTGGTGAGGATTTCATCGCAGCGTCAGAATCTGTGCAGGCCTAGAGGCCTAGACTCACCTTTTTGTGAAGTGCAAGATTGGAAAGTCTGACCCCGGCTGGACTCTGTGAGTGTCCAGCACAATGGAAGAGGGACCATCTGACCAGTTGATCTGTCTCGCTTTTGCTTGTGAGCGGTGCTGACCATTCCAACCCTGTCCAACCATGAGACCCGAGGCCGGCCGACACCAAACCCTAGAATAGTAACAAGTGCCTCGCTTCTAGTAACAAGTGCCTTACTAGTAGTAACAAGTGCCTTACTAGTAGTAACAAGAACGCTACTAGTAACATGAGTAAAAAATAAGCCAGCCCTGTGCCCTATGAGTTGAAAAGACGACCCATGAGCACCCACGCGCTTACCGGCACCGAGCAGAGGGGACAGGCCGACCGCTTTTTTCGCCGTCTCAAGTAAGCTTCTAGTTACCAGACAGCTTTACTAAGAAGCTTTATTGTTACTAGTAGCGATGGCCTCCGAGCTAATAGCGATGGCCTCCACCTTGTAGCTTCTAGTTACTGGAAAGACTATCCCTCTCTAAATTCGAGCAACCATCCCTACAATAGCATACAATAGCTTTATCATGCTTTATCATTGTCAACATTCTTCATTCTCCCTCATGCGCTTGACCCTATATATGCCCGTCATGTGCGACTCTACCGAGCCGCCATGGCCCTCCGCCGCTGCCTCCGCCGCTGCGCTGCTGGAATTCCACCACCGCCGCCGCCCCGCCCAAGCTCGCTGCGGCTGCAATCCCCAGCCACACCACCCGCGGCCACATATGTCAGGAGCAACCTGCATAAGGCATGATTTGGGCTAAACAGCGCATATTCTCCTTAGAGTTGAGAGGTCATGGGTGGTTTTCTTTCAGCTAGCTCGGACGTTTGACGATCTTTCGATTTTTCCATAGCCCCAAAAATGGAAGATGCTCTTTTCTCAGCCTCCATTTCCACATGATCTTCCAAAATTCATTCGAATCTCCTTGCCTCCAACTCTCTCTCTCTCTCTCTTCCGATCTCTCTTCCTCCACGATCAGCAGGCTTTGGCGGCGGCGGGTGGGCAACAGCAACCAGAGCTGGTCTTTTCCTGTTTTTGGCGTAACATGGCACTTGGTCGGGCTGGATGTGAGCGGACCGGCGATGCCTGAAGACCAGCAGGTAAGCATGACGTGAAAGCCGATAGTACACCAAGGTATATACACAACCTACTTGCAAGGGGATGCCAGGTTTTTGGTTTGCTCAGGATTTGAAGGAGCCACCTTCTAGAAAACAGACTGCTACTGTCCCCTGAAAATAGTCAGATTTGCAGGAGCCCTTGGACTTGAGGTATCGATACCCGCACCTGCATGACTTGTTCATCTGGAACAACCTTGGCCTTGCTTGAAACATAATTTCTTTGTCCGTGGCCCAAGAAGAACAGCAACTAGTGCTTGGCAGGTCCTCTTGCCCGGGCTAAAGCCGCAACAGGGAACTTCCACTCCGTGTTGAACAGGTTTTGAAGAGGGTCGCATAAGTCGTTTCTTTTTTTTGTGCATATGCCATATGGTCGAAGCCAGTAGCAGCAACATGCACCGAATTAAAACAAGCCATTGTGGAACGCAGGCCCTCGCCCAGCTGAAGCATCAGTTGAACTTTCGAGCCCCTGCTTCCAAGCAAACAAACCAACAATGGATGCAAGACTTGATATGCCTACATCCTCGGATAAGTCGAGCAAAGGTGGGCTTGTGCACCTAACGGCTGAGTATGGTCCTCTAGCCATGCGCTCGCACACTCCAAACAAAAATATAAACGGGAACAGCAGCATAGACATAGCTGACCCGCCGCAGTCAGGTTTGGAAAACAAGCACGGAATTTCAAATTGCATACGTGCCACGGTATTCCTGCGGGCGCGCGCGCAGGCCATCACATTGGCACTTCCTACGCCCTGCGCATTTGCACAGCTCTCCTCGCATGTCCTTCAGGTAATCTCCGAAGCTTTGTAGAGTCGTTCGAGAACCACCACTACTTCCTCCCTGGTTGACCTGCATGTACTTCGAGTAGTCTCCGAAGCTTCGAAGGGTCATTTGAAAGCCACCATTCAAGGTGTTTTCACTGCTTGTTCTCTCGTTGCCCTCCATGTACTTCGAGTAGTCTCCGAAGCTTTGTAGGGTCATTTGAAAGCCACCATTCAAGGTGTTTTCACTGCTTGTTCTCTCGTTGCCCTCCATGTACTTCGAGTAGTCCCTGAAGCTTTGTAGGCTCATCTGAAAGCCACCATTCAAGGTGCCTTCACTTGTTCTCTCGTTGCCCTCCATGTACTTCGAGAAGTCTTTGAAGCTTGGTAGGGTCTTTTGAAAGCCACCATTCAAGGTGCTTTCACTGCTTGTTCCCTCGTTGCCCTCCATGTACTTCGAGTAGTCTCCGAAGCTTTGTAAGCCACCATTCAAGGTGCCTTCACTTGTTCTCTCGTTGCCCTCCATGTACTTCGAGTAGTCTTTGAAGCTTGGTAGGGTCTTTTGAGAGCCACCATTCAAGGTGCTTTCACTGCTTGTTCCCTCGTTGCCCTCCATGCACTTCGAGTAGTCTCCGAAGCTTTGTAGGGTCATCTGAAAGCCACCATTCAAAGTGCTTTCACTGCTTGTTCTCCTCTCCTATCTCCAAAGTCCAGAAGCAGCCAGCACAAAGCAATCACTATGACAAAAGGCGTGGCATATAGGCCACTGGGGCACGCGAGTTGTTCTTATCTTCAGCATTAGCAAACTCGAGCCCTTCCATCTGTTTTGAACAAATCGACAACTCACCCAAGCCTTTGCTCTTAAAATTGCAAAAATACAGTATGTCCTCTCCTAGTTTGAGCCACTGCCATGTTCTGCAGCCTGTTCGTGATGTTGGCGAAAACCGATGGTGAGGCTACTGTGATCGCTTTGAGCCAAGCGTCGTAGAACTGGACGCCTCGTTGAATGCGCTGGTGAAATGCAACAGGCGCATTATGGCGCATTGGTCTTTGTTTCGAAGCTACTAGGGGCTCCTGGCCTTACTACTAGGAGCAAGGACTATGGCATCGCTACTAGTAGCATTCTTGCTACTAGTAACAAGAAGCTAGGTGTGTTCTCCGCTTGAGGGTCCTTGCTTCTGTTGAGGTGCTGCAGTTCACCGGTCCTTTTTTGTGTCGACGATTATTTGTTTTGTTTGTTTTTAATTGTCTTCTGGTGATCCTTTGGTAAGTCGTGCTTTTCTCATTGCCATTCTTCACAAGCTAAGCTGATAATTTGGCTCCAATTGAAGGTGATGGAAGGCAAACTATTCCAGCCCAGGTAAGAAACTAATCAGAGAAAAACAACCCCTAAAAGCTAGAATTTGATCAGGGTTTGACCCTCGGTCACTGTCCCCCTGACCTTTGCTTATAGCTGGCGATTGGCACACTTAATGCGAGTAGTGGCGGACGCGGCCCATCGACCACCTTCGTGGCGCAGAATTCTTCGCTTCTTGTTACTAGTAGCAAGAATGCTACTAGTAGCGATGCCAGGAGCCCCTAGTAGCGTCCTTGCTCCTAGTAGTAAGGCCAGGAGCCCCTAGTAGCTTCGAAACAAAGACGGTTTCATTATGAAAGGCATTTTGCGTTCAGGTTCTTTTTTAGAATCTTCTCCCATGTAAACCGCCTCTTACAGTACTTTGTGTATGCGTTTTACCTTTTCTCAAGCTTTAGTTTGGCAAACAGTCTTGCAAGAGGTTTGTAACTAGTCACCGTGTAAATTTGTATTGGTCACTTAATTCTTGGTCCTGAACCTAGGTGAAACAAATACCTTTCATACAAGTAAGAGGTCTCATAAATAAAGTCTTCTTCCCGTTGCAGCAAAGTTAAATGCAATGCTGCGGCTGAGTTTAAGGGAGGCTTTTGTAGTGTTGCACTTGCGTGTATGAAGACCATATCAAGACTACTCGGGGGCTTTGGACTCTACTGTAGCTGCCAAGCTAGGCTTTGACCACGGCTGAAACCCGCCGAAACCATCGCCAGGGACGCCTGGAGCTCCCAGCAGTTCGGAGGAGCAGAAGCGTCGTCTGACCATTGAATGGTTCTTCAGAGCAAGAAGTTTTCTTAGAAGTAAATCGCCTTGGGCAAGAGAGATGACGAAAGATGTGGTGATTTGGGCACTGCTCAACCTGAAGGAGCACGCCTGATAACTGTAGAGGAGGGTCCTTTTCAATTCAAAAGACGTTCAACATATTTCACAGACAGGATTGCCTTCAAGCTAAGCTAGATATGTTGTGAGAGATGTTTCAACAAGATCTTTAGAATAGGAGATTCCTGACTCATGTGTATGGACCTCAAAGAACCTTGCGTTGCTCCAATGGGCATCAGCCATTGGATTCTGGGGGAGTTGCGATTCTACTGTACCGACCAGGATGTGAAGGAAATGCTGCGCTGACAGACAAAGACATTTTGCGACTTCTTGGGTACATTGAACAGCTTTTGCCAACGACTTCTGCTGGAGGCAGGTTTGTGGGGTGTTGACGTGCCAAAGAAGTGTTTCAACACATTGATATGTTGGAGCCATTGTTTCTAGTGACTTCTAGTGGTTGTAAACGTCCAGAGTCTAGAGCTACATTCCTGGTGGTGCAGGAAGCCAGTCGTCCTGACATGAGCACTTGATGATCTACGAGCCAGGGATGTTTTCAAACATGGATAGATATTGATGGACAGACTTGCTCAAGAGAAGCCTCCAACAGCCACACCATTCCTCATGTTCCCAATCTCTCCCTTAGGCGACCTTAACAGAGTGCTCGGCTAGCTGCGGTAAGTTCATCTTCAGGACGAGCTGTTCTACACCACTTCCGAGTTTGTCCAAAGACCAGATGCTGCAAGGTTCCCTGTTTCCTTTTAGACCTTGACGACGAACAGATTTCGACTGAGACGCTTAAAGGCGTACTCTCTTCGTCCGACGCAACGCCAACAGCGACAGGCACCGATGCCCAGAGGTACCTCACAACGTTTGCCTGGGAGCGGGGCCCAAGGAGAGAGGGAGCGAGACCTCCAGTCAGACTCGTCAAACGAGTCATGAGATGTCATGAGATGTCATGAGATGTCATGAGGTCATCGTGTGCCTGGTCATGGTGTGTTTTGTGGGTCTTTTTTGAATAGCTTCTAATTAGTGTCTAGAAGTAAGAACAACACGAGATCAGCTTGACATCCAGGGTCTGATGGACCCTCGCGTCTTCACCAAGTCATTTTTTCAGCTAGTGAAGAGGAAGCTTATGAAGGTTGGATGCTGGAGGGTATCTATCTTGGGTTGCGTTGGCGCATGTTCAGTTAATATTCCATGAGCACTTCCCATGATTGGCTTTTGCTCTTTCGATCAATGTCAAAGCAACAAGCTATGGTAAGTCGGGCTTGTTTCTTGGCTATCAAGATCCTAGAATGAGTTGGGAAATGGATTTTTGCCTCAAGACTAAGGTTCGGGTCGTCAGATTCCAGGTGTGATTATTTTGTTTTGTCTTCAGAACTTGTCAGGCTGCAATGCAATCACCGCCAGTTGTCCTCCCCGCAACGGAAGTGGTGCACGGAGCAAGCGGTTCTGGAAATCCTCGTTTCCTCTACAGCGCATTGCTACCACCCCAACCATCCCCCTTGACATTCGTGGTATTCGGTGAGCAATGACACTTGCTAAAATGATGAAAGTGAGACCAATTTGGGAAGGACGTGCCAGGTTGAAGGACTTGCCACACTACAAGCAGGGGTCATGCTCAGCTTCGATCGTTTCAGGGTGTATTATATAGACAGTAAATTCAGTAGACCTGAGAAAGTCATCACAGCCATCTAAGAGCTACCGAGGCCCTGGCCAGCCTCGCACATTGGCAGCCAAAGCTTTCTCCAGAGGTGACGGAGTTTTTGTTTTCTAGTACTTATATATGCAGCAGGATCACTTCAGTTTTTGCACTTGTTTGAACTTAAAAACAACTGATGGCACAGGATGATTTTAGGGTGGTTCTGCTTCGAGCCAAGCACTGGCGGCCAGTGCTCGACCACCCAGTCTAGGTCTTAAAGCGCTTGGCGGCCATCTTCGAAGTGATCCTGGAAGCCCGGTGATCTTCGAAGGGACCGGTCGACGAGTTGATGGATGTTCGACCTGATCGAAGGGTCGACTGATCGATCCAAGAATCCTTCTGAGCTCAAAGCGTGATGAAGGGGAGTTTGGGGCATGTTTGACAACTCCAAAGAGGTCTTGGAGTCTCGTTTCCTCGTGCTTTTGATTCACTGTAGACGTTATGTACAAGAGTCAGGAAGGAGGGATCTGGCTCTAGAACTGTCCGTGTTGACAAGTCCCTTGACACGCGAAACACAGCTGCTGGACAATCTTGACATCTCAGCAATTTTCAGATACCAACCCTCCTGCTAGTGTCAAACACCATCTCTTCAATATTTATTTTGCTGTGGTCAAGACTGATTAGAGTAAAGAGGCTTACTCACACTACAGTAATATGAAGTAGGGTACTGTATGACTCCAACTCCAGTAGCCTGCAAGAATGCACGTGGTCAAGCTTGCTCCGTCTGTATGGCCGAATCCCGAAACTGATGTCGGGGCCTCGTTGTCCTTTGCCGTAAACGTCCAAGACTGCTGAGGGGCTAGAAATTTAGGCAAGAATACGCAAGAAAATCCGCAAATAAATAAAAAGAGAAACTCGGTGTTTTCCTTATTTGAGTGCAACTCTTGACCACTGATAGCATTCCGAGAATTATCCACACACCTTTTGTGCCAATCCCCACAAGCTGTGGCCTCCACCGGTGGGCGAAAAAGCTGAGGAAATGGTCGAGCCACTACTGGAGAGCTTTGAGCTACTGAGCTGAAGACAAGAACTGGAAGGCTTCGCAGCTGGGCCAAGGGTATGATAAAATATGATAAACATCCCCATTGGAATTTCCTGTAGGAAATGGGTGCCCTTAGGCCTGTCATAAGGCCGTTAATTTTTTTGAAGAGAGTAATGTTTTTTTTTTTTTTTTTTTTTAAAACTTTCTGGATCCATATGCATTTTATAGAAATCGATGGTGTTGATTGATGACATCTGTGGCAGAGATCATATGCAAAACAAGCCATTTTCTAGAGACAAATTTGAAGGGTGAAATACTCTTCGACAAGACGTTGGGCATATCATTTTCTAGAGGCAATAAAAAAGCAGTGTTCATGTTGTTTTCCATGAACGCATGAGCGCAGCATGAGCGGCATGATATTGTTTTAAAGTCTATTTATATAAGTCTACTTTTGTGAATCGTCCTGGACCTCCACAAAATGGATCTTCACAACCTCCGGTTTAGCATTGACATAGATGATGTCTAGAAAATGCAAGTCCAACCTTTGGCAATTTTCCTCAAATTGCTTGCAAAGGTTGTGTATAACCATTTTCTAGAGGCCAGCTACTGACCGTCCTACTCTTGTTTTGAGTTTTTCTTGTTTAGATCCGTGTGCATTTTATAGAGCACTATTTTTCAGGCATCCGCTGTCATTTTCTAGTATTTTCTGACCCCGAAACCTTTATACCTATATATATATATAAAATAGTCCGCCCAACCCCTCCTTGAAATCCTAATAGGGATTGATAACATCTTCTCAGCAGCTTGAAAAAAAACAACCTGGACTTGATGTAGCATAGCATCAAAAGGAAGCTAAAGTGAGCCCATGGTGAAGAGTCGCGAGAGTTGTTACGGTACCAATACATCTATAAACGTGTCTATCATAAGATATAGACTATGTCAAATGAACAACACGTGAAATAGAAAGTTGAAACTACTCTTGCAAGAGTTGACCAAGAGTCTGAATAGGAAAAAGAGCAGCGGATACATTTGTGGCCACACATGTGCTGATCAAAGCTGATCAACAAACTGCTTGGGTTCCCAATAGCTGAGAGTGGATTCGAGGATCCGAGAAACTGAGTCCCGTCCTTGAACGACTTGGTTCTTGAAGAAACACATTTATACTAGTTTTGACTACTCTATTCCAACTCAAG